CCGTGTCAGAAGGTCTGGGCGAGAGGTTTTGTTGGAGCCATGGACAGAGGCTGACACGAGTGCCTGTGTTAGGTGACACGGCCCGTGTTATCCAGGACGCTAATTTTGAGTGTTTTTATGATTTTTTTTATGATTTGGGACCCAGAGGGGCGTTTTGAGCATTTCCGACCGAGACAAATGGATTATGCACTATTTAGATGAGTTTTGAATAAGAATTAGGGAGCTTTGTTGTAGAGAATGAATTCCAGATTCTAGGAGTGAGGATATGAGATTCTTGAAGAACAGAGATTTTTCATGAGCGGACGCGATTGAAGACCAAAGTTCCTTCATCATCTATAATGTCTAATTCTTATATTTTTGTAATTCTCGTGAACAATATGAACGACTAAACCCCCCCAATGCTAGGGGGTGTCCCTAATTTGAATCTGTAATGATTATGAATTTTTGAGTTCTTTAATAAAGTTGTTTTCTTATTCAATTTAATCATGTAATATTTTTATGCTTTCCTGATCGAGCTAATTAGGATTGATTCATAGTTAATAACCAGCTGGACTATGGTTGTTAAGGTTTTTATATGAATAGACTATAATAGATATCACTTAGGACTAGGAATACCCTTTAGCTACCAGATCACTCTTGATAAAATAAAGGCTTGACTCCATCAGATATCTCCAAGGACTTAGGATGAATGGTTAAAGGTTTTCTCACAAAGGACTTAGGGGAAAATAATCTAAAGGACTAATAGTTGAATATTATAAACTTATTGAAGAAATTAGGATTCAAAGTTGTTATAAGGCAAATTACACATCACACCATAGCATGTTCATCAATTCTGTGAAAAAGTATATTTATATTTCTGCTTATTCTTAAGTGACAATTTCTAAAACCAAATCCCCAAGTTAAGTTTTTGTTTATTTGAACGTGAATTGAACTCGATACTCATACGAAGTCCTTGAGATCGACATTCAGGAAATTTCCCTATTATTACAAGGGGCAAAAATAGTACATTTGCTATTTTTCCTATCAACCAACAATGAGACATAGTTCACATACCAGAAATTCCAAGAATTCATAGTTAACCTAGGCATCGTCCACCACTTCGCCTCCGTCGAGCATTCACAAAAAAACGGACAGGTCGAAGCTGCAACAAAGTAATCCTAAGAGGTCTTAAATAAAGACTAGACGAGACTAAGAAAAGATGGGTCGAGGAGCTACACAGTGTGCTCTGGGGCTATCAGACAACATCTCATTCGTCAATTAGGAAGACTCCTTTCTGACTAACCTATAGAACCGAGGCTATCATCCCCGTCGAAATGAGAGAACCATTGAGACGAACCCAAACCCCTCTCGACATAGAGCGACCCTACAAGAAGCCTCTCTCAAATAAAAGATCGCCCTGTGATATGATGCTAGAGTCATACGACGTGAATTCGAAGTCGATAATTTAGTCCTTAAGAGGAATCACTAAGAACCCCGCGAAGGCAAGCTCACCACGAACTGGGAAGGCCCCTATCACGTCCACGCAAAAACAGGGACCGGGGCCTACTACTTAGAAAATTTAAACTGGAAACAACTTGCTCGACCTTGGAACACTGAAAAGCTAAAACAATATTACAGCTAAGACGCTGAAAACATTCGGTGTGTCTCATTGGCATGACGTACACATCACTACCCGACCACACGTGCATGCCTAGGTACAAGCATGGCACTCGAAATTAAACGAAGAGGCAAATTTCCACTCTTTTGACGAGCAGATCCTGCCCGACGTGGATAACTCAAACGAGCTCCACCATTGTCGTATCACGATGGCATAACATGCACCTCGCGGTGGGAAGTTCACACTGCCGAACTCGGGCCCTCAAAACGAAACCTGAGTTTCGGCTCATGCCTGATAATTGCCCTGACCGTTTGACCATTTTCCCCACACTGGCGAACTCAAAAAATAATGAGTAAACCCCCACAAATCCTCAATAGATACAAAAGCATCTCAAACAGATAAACATAAAAAATTATGCAAACATTCAACATATCGAGCACTAAATAAAGTGAAAAATGCCCTTATCAGTGTAGGTTAAAGCAAGACGACCACCAAGGTCGCAATTGTAAGAAATATTACAAAAAGGAGGCCCAAGGCCCCCATTAAAAAAACGAACTTGTGCCTGCAAGGACCATGATTGTTTGAGACTTACATCAAAAAGGGAAAAGCCCACATAACAAATTACAACGGTACGACATGCAGGCCAAAATAAAAACTTATCAAACACCAAGCTGAAGTCCCTCCGCATTTGTATCAACCTCGGGAACAGGCTCCGTATGAGGTGGCTCCCCAACTTCAACATCCTTGTCAACCGAAGGAACTCGGGGATAACTATCTTACCATCTGCCACATAATAGTGGAGCCACATTCCAGCCGTGTTGAACTCGACGCCAGGATTCAGAACTAGGAGTTATGCCACCGTGTTGTCAAAGCTCCATGCAACATTGACCACACAATCCTCCAAGGCTAGATGGAGACGAGCAACCAAGTCAACTTGGGTCTTCATACCTTTGACCTCGTCTGGCTTGTCCTCGGTAGGAGCCAACTCGACCCTAAGTGAAGCCACCAACTTCTCAGAAGCTTTCTTCTCGAGCAGGAGGGCATCATGCTCCTCGGTCATCTTCGCCAAACTCTCAACTGCCTTCTTTCAGAAAGCCTCCCCAGTAGCACACTCCTTCTCAAGAGTCCCCAGTTTGGCCTATAGCTTCCTCATCTCGACATCTTGGGAAGTACTACCCTCGGTATACACAATGACCATCTCCAGAACCCTCATAACAACACCAGCATCCAGAGCCAACGTCACCCTCTTGCTCAAACAATCCATATCCTCAAGAGGGACTTCGCTCGGAGGAGATGCATGGAAGCCCCCTTGAAGAAAGCCTTGTTATGCCAGTAAGGAGGCAGATCAAACCACCCATTTTCCTTCTCACCTGCCAGGTCTAATGTGTCATCCTGGCGTTGCCTTTTAAACCTCAAAGACGCCTGCCAAGGAGAGAGAGCCCCGACCGTTAGACCAGTCGATGACGTGCTCAAACCCGACTGTAGAGCCGTCCCCGTATCACTTGGAAAAGGTCTGATATACTTTTGTGCCTTCTTCGAGCCCAGGAGAGCGGCCCTAGCCATGCGTTCAGCAGTGAGATTCATTCTTTATGCAAAAAAACAATAGAATTGGGTTCAGTAAACAGGAGCAGTAATTCAAGCATATAAATCAAAATACGAGATAACTACCCAGATACGCTACAGGATCCTCGCTCCCGAGGAGCTCCTTAACACCTATCAAGTCAGGCTCATAGATCACTTTCCCATCCTCGTGGACAACCGGTCTTCCTCCTCTGTCCACACGTTGGACTGAAGGGATTCCAACGACAAAGGCCGTGAGATGATCATAGATAGCTTGGTCCTCTTCGCCCAGCTAGTCCTTCATCATAATGTTTCCTCGACGAATGAAAGCGAAACTTTGGCACCAGCTTCACAACCACATTCCCTTCCTCTTTCACTTGAGGTTGCCCAGTCTCGTCGACTAGTTCAATGCTCCTAAAGATGTTCAGCGGCACCCTCCCCAACAAAGGTCGAACCAGCATGTACCTCAGCTTAAAATCTCGGACAAATTCCAAGTAAGCTTTAAACAGCTTCCCGTTCTTCTGCTTGAGGGAGACCCACGTGAACCGACACCTTGAGCACCCCATTGGAGGTGGAAGTAATAGAAGAATAGAGGAACAGTAGCCCCTATTTGCAGATGATCATACACAATCTCGAAAGCCCGTAAGAAGGCAATCGAATTAGGATGTAATTGCAAATGAGCAAGGCGGAGTTGCCGAAAAACGGCCACCTGAAGGTCACTAAAAGGAAGACTAAAACCTATCTCCCAAAAGAGAATCTCGTACATAGGAATATGATTCTGCTCGAACTGCGAACATACCCAGTGATCAGGATTAGGAATATATACGACTCACTTGTCCTCAACGCCCTCTACTTCCATCCCCGTGTCCACTGCAGTAAACACTTCATCTGGATGCTTGCAAAAATGAGATACCCACTTCAAAGGATCAGGCGCGACCCAAGCTAAGGGATCCACCTGGACCATGGGTGCGCCCTGAGCAGCGGGCGCATCATCCTCCACTTCGATCAGCTCTGGCACGACCGGATCGGGCCCGGGCACCCACGAAGTGCTCCCTTCCGTCGATGAGCACTCGGAAAGGCTCAGCGAGGAGTTACTAGGTTTGGCCATAAACTCATCATCTGTACCACTGACCATTATACCTGAAAAGCAGGTGACAAAAGTGAATTCGATGTCAAAACTAAATCCACCATTCCACCGCTAATAAAGTGAAATAGCGCAAAGGAACGAGGACCATGTCCCCGACCAAAGCCCTCACTCAAACAACAAAATAGATTCTCTCTTGTCGGGCGCATCCGCACCGAGCAAGAACGGGGATCCTCCGAATAACTATCTCCTTAACACTGCTAGGAACGACCCCAATATCACCGAAGACTTCATCACAAATTGCTATCACCTACGCTATGTTCGAAGCATCCCTACGAAACACGCGGAGGAACTATCGTCCTCGGGTGACGGGACCACCGTCCGTAACCAACACTCCGCTGAGAATCCTCACATTAAGTTACTCTAAGTCCTAAACCGCATGCATTTTTAAAAGAAGATGCGCAAAACCTAACCCACAACAAAAACAAATTCTAAAGAAACATGAAAGAACAGATAAACTTACCAAATTATCGGTGGAGCAAAGTTAATAATAAAATTTCGAAGAGTTTATCAAATGTGATACTCATAAATGTTGAATTTAACTAAATAATATCAGAGAACTTAAAAATGTAAAAATGGTCACTATTTGGAGGAATGGTTAAACCAAATTCCCAAAATTTCTAAAGAAAAAGTTTCAAGAAACATAAACCCACACAAAAACTCTACTCCGACCAACGCCGTTGTTCCTCACCGGAAGCGATGTCTCTGCGCACGCCAATCTCAAAATTGCTCAAAAAACTTCGCTTTCCTGCTTCCCACGCCTTCTCCGCCTCTACAGTTACAAAAAATCCACTACCCATCTCATTTTCCGGTACAATTCATACTCACTCTCCTTCTGATTTGATCTTGATGCCACTCTTTTCTGTTTTTCTGTAATTGAAAACAGAACAGAAAATCATTACTTCAATTTTTCAGGAAAGGAACTTTCCCATTGGTATCAAACTGGTGCATATGGTTGGAGAACAAATCTTAGGGATCCTTGTTTATGGATTCTTGTATCTGGACATGTAGGTATGCTTTTGTTGTTGCTGTTTTTCAATACAATATCTAATCATGCAATCTCTCTAATTTCTGTGATGATTATTCAATACTCTCAAATAGTTTACATGGACTACTTTGATTTTGCTGTAGTTGCGACTCTTGGAATTAGTGCCAACGTTGCGTTTTCGGAATCATCTTCTGATGATAGCACTGGTGGATTAAAAAGAATTGAGGATGGTTCTGTAGCATCGAATATACATACTGCAAAATGGAGAGTTTTTACCGATAAAGGACGAGAGTTTTTCCTAGAGGTTTGCTGTTTCTTCGTGTTGCTTTGATTTAACATTCTTCAGTTATGTTATAATTGTTGTTGATTGTATTGTTTTTTTCTGGGTTCTTCTAGGGAAAATTCGATGATGCTGAAAGACTCTTCGTTGCTGCCATACAAGAAGCTAAAGAAGGTTTTGGCGAGCAAGATCCGCATGTTGCGTCTGCATGCAACAATCTGGTTGTTTATCTGCGCTTGTTAATTGTTTCTTTCATAATTGGTTTGGAACTATACAATATTCTAGTTCTTGGAATTCTCATACCTATTGTTGAGGTTAATTATGAAAATAAATGAATCTGTTATTACACAACTCAAATTTCTATTATTGTCTTTTCAGGCAGAGTTGTACAGGGTCAAAAAGGCATTTGACAAAGCAGAACCGTTGTATTTGGAAGCTATCAAGATCCTAGAAGAATCGTTTGGTCCGGATGATGTAAGGTAGGGTGTAGTTGCTGTGAAACCGTCATAACTGATGCTTCATCTGCTTTATTCCTTAGTATGTGGCATTACCAATTTGTTGATTAATAGGGCGATAAATCTTACACTTGCAGCGGATCAAAATAAAATTTCCTCTTTTCTCTATCATAAATTTCCTATTTCTTCAGTATTTGTTCAGTGAAAATATATCAAATTAAATCTAAAACCTATGGCTAACTGTTATTATGCAGGGTTGCGGTTGCTGTTCACAACCTAGGACAGTTCTACCTTGGACAACGGATGTTGGATAAAGCAAAAGTTAGCTATGAGGTATAATTTGGATAAAACCCCTGAATAAGTTCTATAAGAATAGTGCATAAGTACCAGTAAGGAGCGTAGACTAGATAGACCATAGGACAAACAATCAAGAAAGATTTGGATTTACATTATGACAAAATATTATGGCGTTGTTTGATCCGTTTAACAATTAACAACCCATCTAATCGGAAAAGACTTTGTTGTGCAAATATTTTAATCATTTATTCATTGTTTTTGCATTGTTAAGTTAGCAGAATCAAATTTCATCACTTTGGGATCTTGTAAGTGGCTATGTTTGTGTTGGACATTTGTGGTCATTCACTCTACAACTGTACACTATCTTTTTGTGGAAGTATCATATTTTTATAGTGCTGTTCATCTATTTCTTTGCATTAATTCGCTTATACTAACCACCTTCTCTTTTTTTAATTTTGTTTTTTAACAGCGCGCTTTGAAGGTATAGACCTATTATGCTCGTGAAGAGACAATTATTTTCTTCAGTATCTGTAACCACTTTATAATTCGTTAATACATCTTAACATCATTTCAATGTTTGATGATCGTCACCATGATCTCTCTTAGTTTTAATGTCTATTTATTCAGATAAAAAGGCGTGTTCTGGGATATGGCCATTCAGAATGTTCAGATACGATGTATCAGATCGGCATGGTAATTGTCTGTCCTTTCACTCTAATCTTTTCAACATGTGTTTGTCTAGTAAAACAGTCTAATATTCTCTATAGAGACCAGAAATCTTGATTTTAAGAAGGCGATATTGGGTATGAAACAAATGGCGTGTTTGGTTTATTTTCTATTTTCATTTTCAAAGGGTATTGTTGAGAGTTCCACATTGAATGAGATATTGTATGAAAATGCGCTAATAAGTGGAAGACATCTCGCACCTTACAAACCAGTTTTGTAGGTTGAGTTGACTCTCCCCAAATTCTAAGAGGTATCAGGTCCTATCTAAGATTTGTTGGGCCACTCAAGTCACACTCAAGATGTCCAGTCCTGGGCGTGAGAGGTGTGTGTATTGAGAGTCCCGCATTGGATGAACTATGACATGAAAATGTGTTTATAAGTGAGACCCATCTCTCATCTTAAAATCCAGTTTTGTAGAGTTGAATTAGGTCCAACTCAAATTCTAAGATATGTTTGCAATAATAGTTTCGAAAAGACCATCTTGTTTTCATTTTTTTCTATTTGGCAAGAATTTGCAAAGGGTTTATTATCCGCTTACTTTCCACGCCTCCTGTTTTCATTTTCATTTCAACTAATAAACAAAAGAGAATATCGACAAAATATTTTCCTCACCATTTTCTTTTATAATTTTTTGTAAACAGATCTAGCATTTTCAGGAATTTTAGATTCAAAGCCTTTGCAGATTTATTCTCTTGCATCTATATTTCTCAGTTTTTTTTTTTTTTTGACAAGATACCACAACCATTTCCAAGAGTATGGATAGAAGGGTGAAGGGAGACTATATTTCTCTTTGTTTTAGAATCTAGTCTAGACGAGAAGTGAGACAAGGATTTGTCATAGATATCCTTGGTGGTCACTCCTCTATTGTAAAAAGGGTGGAGTTTTTGTTCATTAAGCTTTGCAAATGTATAATTCATCATTTAAACTACTTTCACACCTGGATTTGTTATATGCTTCCTCCAGACTCATGTATAAGGAAAAAAAAATACTTTCACACTCTTTAAGAAAAGTAGTTAGTTTCATTTAATTTTCTCAATGTAATCAAAAGAGTAATTGTGTTTTCCAAATTGTCCATCATAGGAACTTGTTCCATGAGAATAAAACGGTTATTGTAAACTAAAATTTAAAATATTTGAAGGGTAATTTTGGAATGATAGTAGCAGTTAGACCACTAAAGAAGACTTTTTTATTGTTCAGTTCTCTTTTCTTTATATTGACATGAAAAAGTAATTCTATCCTCTGATTTCTCATTCATGTTTTCTTAACAAACCTCTTTTATGAAAACTAAGTGTGAATTAAGCTAATGCCTGAAAAAACACTAAAATAAAGAAGGTTGCTTTAGTTATATTTGTTTGGTTTGCATTGTGAAGCAATGCTCCGTGTTAGCTTGGTAGTGATTCAGAACTCTAAGACTTAAGGGGATTATGTAATTTCCTTGTTAGTGACTCCCTTGTAATCTTCTCTCTTCTATGCTTCTCGTTTTTTTTGGCTCAATTAAACCTTAAGCCATAATTTTTGTGTTCAGGTGCTGTATCTTCAAGGAAAAGAAAAGGAGGCTGAGAGCATTATTAAGGACTCTATAAGCATGCTAGAGGTCGTGATAGATTGTTATCTACCTTCAATTCCCTCATCTGTAGCATTTGGTAAATTTGAACTTTTTATTTTCTTAAGCCATTTTGTTTACCTGTGCAGAAAAGTGCCGAAGGAGAGTCATTTGTATGCATTAAAAGACTCCGTTTCCTCTCACAGGTCGTTTTTAATCCTTTTGGCCCATGAAATGGTGAAATTTATTTGATATATAGTGAAACTTCATTTTTCAGTTTGGTCTCCTCCAAGTTCTTTGTAGTTTGATTAAAATTTTCAGCTTAGGACGAAATGTGTTTGTGCATTGTTCACCCCTCAAAGGAGTTCTGTTCCCACTTTTCTGTCCTAACTTTCTTAATGATATTAAGCTATTACTATAATTTTTTCAGTTATATTTGAAATCACATCGTCTTGATGAAGCTGAGATGGTCCAGAGAAAGATCCTGAACATAATGGAATTGTCAAAGGTTCTTTTTGTGAACTTCCTTCTCGTCTTCCGCTTTCAAATCGAATTTCTTCTTTAATATTGGTGCATGTGCATGCATAATGAGTTCCAACTTCTGTCTTTTGATTCTGAGTTAATTGTGATAATCTTGATGAATGAAATAAGAAAATGTTGCCATAATAGAGATATTTCATAATCTGTTATTGCCGTTAAAAACATGATGCAATTTGTGTAATGCAGGGGTGGAATTCTTTGGACACAGTTATTGCAGCTGAATCCTTGGCCTTGACACTACAAGCATCTTCCGAAACAAAACAGTCGAAAGAGCTTCTTGAAAGGTTACCTTAATATTATTAGTTCATCAAAACGGGGGAACTTAACTTTGACACCATGCAAATGAAATCCTCTCTCTCTCTCTCTGTATCTCTTGCAGATGTCTTGATGTCCGGAAAACCTTACTTCATAGTGATCATATTCAGGTTTGTTGTTCCTTGATAACGATTTTGGCATTTAGCAAAACTGTGAAGATAAAAATGTAGTAAAGATAAAAATGTGATTTTTTTTTTTACCCATGGTCAGATTGGTGCAAACCTACTTCATCTAGCAAGAGTGGCAATGCTTGATTGCAGCCAACACAAAAAATCAGATGTTTCTAAAGCTAAAGCTGAGCTTGATATAGCAAAGGATCATTTGCATAATTCCATAAGGTATCTATTACTTTGACGCGCCTAAGTCTTTCATAACTATTCTGCATATAAAGAACAAATCAAATTGTCATGTTTTTTCATATTTTTTAAGTGCCAGTTATTCTTTTCTTCATGTATTTCTCTTTCACCTATCTCAGGATTGCGCGTCAATGTTTAGATAAGGTATTGAAACAAAAAGACAAGTCGAAGAAAAACAGTATGCTTGGACGGTCTAGAAAGGAAGCCCAAGCAACACTAGTCATATTGGTTGGTTTTATTTCCCCATTACTAGCTTCCTCTTATGCATATAATTGTGATATGTACTCTGTTGATTTGTTTATTAAAGTAGGCATGTAATTTTGCAGTTGCAATCACTCAGCACTCTATCATCGGTGGAGTTGGCTAAGCAAGAATTGCAGAAGATTCAGGTAAGATTTTGTTGAGAATCCCACTTTAGTTGTGACACTGCTTAAAACATGTTTATTTAGTACGAGACATCTTTCACTTTACAAGTCGATTTTTTAAAGACGAGTTAGACTGAACTCAAATTCTTCTTAATTCATATTTCTATTTTCCTAAGTAGGAAGGGGACATTAACCTTGAGGCTAAAGAAGCACTTCTACAATGCATTGCTGCTTACAACGAGGTAAGAACAAACTATTTTCAGTCTAGTTTTTCTAGGGAATGTGCTTATTTTTTATTGACTTAGATGTTTTCTTAATCAATGCTCTTTTTGAGTATTTATTATGACAACTCTACTCTTGTTTTGCAGTTTGTTGTACATAAGAAGTCCATTGCTGATTCCTCTGAAATAAAGAATGAGTATTTTTCATGTTTTAACCGTGCTCAAACCTTGCTTGGCAATAAACTTGATCGAGAAGGTATCCGTAAGCCGAATCAAACATCATGAAGAGATTTTTGTTTTCTTTTAAAAATTATATTTTTTTAGTCATATACCACACTTGATAAGGAGCACAGTTGCCTCTGATCTTGGCATCAAAAGAAATGTACAACATCTAACCAAGCTTATAGTAAATGTGAGATTCTATCACGAATATTCTTATTCATAATCACACAAAGCATTTTGTTTTGCTTTGTATGATTACTAATTACTACTATACATTAACTTGTTATTGAATTGTTCTATACTTGTGATTTGCATTCAATCATTCCTAGATATATGTCCTACATAGTACATACATAGTTGTAAGATATTTGATGTCTCTATTAATATTCACTCTCTGGTATGTGCTGGAAGAGATGTGAATTCAATGCAGAGTCACATGTTTGTTTCTCTTAAAAGTAAAATTATTAATGTTGTCGGTTGCTTTGAAGATGAAAAATGATACTCCATCTGCCAAAAAATAAGTGTTATCTTTGAAAAAATTATTTGTCTCTAAATAATTGTTACTCTTAATTTCCTATGCAATTTTAACGTTTATCTTTCAAGTGTACTCTATCTATGTTTTACTTTTCAATATCGTTTATGCATAATCCAATGTTCCCATACAAAACAACGACTCTTTTATATCTTACTTGATTAAAAAACTTAAAACCATAATTTATTTTAGATATATATAAAAAAAACATGTCCGCCTCATTTAGGTGAGTTCCGAAAAAAAATGGGGGCGGAATGAATTTTATTGAGAATGCGAGTCTAAAATATTGTCTCGCCTTGAAAAAATTAAGTGCGGAGCGAATTCACAGGCATTGCACTTTTAAGTCTAAATATTAAAAAATTAACATTCGTGCTCAGAGAAAAATGAGGTGGGACGGAACGGACATAATAAAAGATGCGAGACTAAAACTTTAACTCACCTTGCAAAAAAATACAGATGAAACAGACATATTCGACGAATTGGACCCATTTTGCGACCCTTAAAAAAACCATTCATTTCATAATTTTTTTTACATAATCAATCTAATTTTAAATTATTGATTTAATTTTTTTTTAAATAAAAAAAAATCTCCACATCTTATCGTTAAGAAACTAAAGAAATTTCATGGAAGGAGCTTGAAATTTAGGGTTGTAATCATAATCAAATTGGTTTGGATAAATTTTTGATAAAAATAAAGGTTTGAACTGATGATATCTCTATAGGATAGGTTTGGTTCGGTTTTTTAACATTTTTCAAAAATAGAATCGAACCAAACTAATAAGTTTTGTTTGATTTGATTGATCGGTTTATAATATATTTTTAGACATTATATTCATCAGTGTATTCTCAATTATCGTGTTTTTCAGTGTATTTTATGCTATTATTTTTTAAAATATAAATTTCATGTAATTTATTTCATACTCTATGTTTTCAAATTAATTACAAGTTTCTCTTAACCCATACGAAACAATGATATGATTTATATTGCATCATGAAATAAGTTAACTATCAAATATAAAAGTTGACACTTGACATCAAAAGGTTGAAAAAAGATTTGAAAGCTTAAAAAATAGAATACAATAAAGTACACATTAATTAACATGTTTCACACCTCAATAACACATTAAAACTATTTTGTAACAAGACTAGAATAAATTTTGTTGAAAAGAAAAAACAAAAAAGATAAATCAAAGAATGAAAATTAACGAAGATAATTTGAACACGAAGAAGGCAACTATAATATATTAGAATGACGGCAGAGAGAGCAACAGTTGTGGTGGACAACGAGAGAAACAATTCAATGAAAGCAAGTTTTTGCGGCTTATGGTTTCTACTTTTTATGTTTTTGAATTTGGTTCTAGATGTATGTTTTGCTGAAAGGAAGTGTAAACTATAACACCCTAAAACCCCAACGCGGAGAATACAGATTTAAAACGACTATTCACATAGGGTGTCATGCAAACATAACACAAACCAGTTTCGTAACACGGGTTAAGTTAAACATAATTTAAAATAAACATCTATCATCGCATGCTCACCTTCACTTAGGGTATTATCGTAACAAAATTCAACAACTAAGCATGCTTCACAAGTATTAAATCTCATAAACAAACACTTCATTTAGATTAAAAACAAATATGGCAAAAGCCTCCACAACTGACATCATCTCCAAACATTATGAATATAACATCTAACTCTCAAATAAGAATCATAATAATAAAATAACATTGTTCACCCGCCCAATGTTACAGATTAGAGAAACAATATATAAACACATAAAAATAGGAAATAGAAGAACAACTTCAACGCCATCTCTCAATCTAAGCAACTACTAAGTTACATGCTCATTTATACACCGAATAAGCACATAACCACACAAATAACAAAGGGGATGAGAATACATTCAAATAATTAATGATGCATAAACAATAAAGATAGATTCACACACTACACAATCACACATGTATTAGGTATACACCTCAATTATCATGTATTCACATCTCATCCACATCACAATCACAATCACAATCACACAAGGGAATTCGTCAATACACAAGCATCTCGATTGCACGATCTTCATATAGTGCAATCAACTCAACTATATATACATGCGGTACCGACTCAATATTTGGCTCTTTATATGAACCGGGTTCCACATTTGAACCTCGAGTCCCCTCTCTGAGCTCCAAGCCCCCTCTCTGAGCTTGGGACAATTCACTAGTCTCATCTCTGAACTAGTAAATATGCCTCTTTCACAACAACGATAACATATGATATGTGGCATGTCATAATGCAATGACAATAACATAACAAATAATACAAACCCTCACTGACTATAAACACTCTGGCATTCACTATGTCATGAGTAGTCCCCACTCTGAACGACTAGTCTCAACAATCATTAATAATCATGTACAATAATCACACCTAAACATATGATTCACAACATATATTCGCCCCTTGAACATACATTCACCACAACACCACAACAATTAATATGCATGTATTTAACAGTGCAATGTCTCCAAGATTTAACAACAATCATAATTTGTATATAACTCACATACGATTATAATTTACCATTTAATCTTATATTAATTAAATTACTCATCACCTAATCATTCATCGAACACATAACTCATGACTAGCAACCATCAAACTATAATCATATCATTATTCAACAACTATCCTTCAAAACGTATCACAAACAAACATATTATCCATGTTCTCAAATACATATAATACCACAAGATAATCATAATAAAATAGTATTTCGCTTCAGCTACTCAACACTTTGAACTACGTCTCAAACAGAGTCACGAATCTCAAGTTATGATGAAAATAGTGTTTTAAACAAAATTTGCCTTTCTGATTCGAATAAAGTGTAAACTGTGATCAAATCAAATCGTCCAGAGGCTCCCAAAAGGCCGTGATTAGAATCAAATTCACAATGTAAAAGCTATGATTCAAATCAACTTCGTTTGTAGCGTTTTTCTGCTATTTTTTCATAGGAATTTCACTTCTAAGCTCATTTTTTTCAACTTAGACCTATCTCAAACATCCCCTAACATGTCCAAATAACTTATTTAGAAAATATATTATTATAGGTCAATTCTTCCTGTAATCTCATAATATTTCATCAATTAACATTTTAATTTCACCAATTAACCGTGCCAACAATACATCAAAACAATCACTCACATTCATCACCACAAAGCTTTAAACTCAACAATGGTGGAAACTCGTAATCATGTCATAGCAGAATTGATTTCATATTAACTTATACAAATTTAATCACAACAAACATCATAACAACAACAACTATTCATGACATACAAAAACATAATTTCATCAATCCCCAAGAACAAAGACAACCATATTAGAGGTTAAGTGAAATTTCTCCACCCTTCCATGATTTAGACACCCTTAAATAAATAATCTTCTCCCTTACCTTTTAATTCCAACAAATCAACAAACAACTCTCTATGTGATCTCCCTCTCATTAAATTAAAAAAAAAATGATAAAATACTATTATTTTAATTATTAAAAGAAACTCTAATGATTTTAATCAACTCTATAAATCTCTAAATACACTCCACACTCCTACCTCTAGATCTCACACCTCCCATTATCCATATTTATTTAATTAATATTACTCAATAATTAAATAAATACACAAAAAAATCATAATAACTCAAATAATGTAATAACTTAAAACTCGGGTGTTATAAAAGATAGATAACGGTTGGACCGATGCAAAATTTAGATTTAATGATGGATGAAATAAAAAATTTAGAGCGTAATTATTTTTATTGGTTCAGTTCATCGATTTAGTGATTTCTAAAAACTAAAATTGAGAATCAAATTAAACCACATTGATTTTCATTAGTTCGGTTATGTTTTAGAATTAAATCAGAAACAATCACTTTTATTTTTGTTTGGTTTGAATTTTCAATTTAATTAATTTTTTCTGATCCGCTTATACCTCTATTTAAACTCATGAAACTCATGAAAGAAAGAAGAGAATGATGAAAATTAAAGCATGCAAACTTATTATTGTACTTAATCTCCAAAGATACATGAGATATGAATATATAGTTTGCAAATGGAGCTTCTAACTGATCTAACCGGCTCTAACAAGCTTAACAACCTATAATCAACTAATTTTCTAAAACATAAATTCATCTATCAAACTTTTCAAAAAAAATTCAAAATAGGAAAGTAGTTACACAAGCTTAAACTAATCAATATTAAAGATATTTTAGACTAAAATGAGCTTTGATATTTCAACATAGTATACATCTATATCATAATTCAAGATTTAAAAATTCATTTTTGTTAGAACATAATTTAGTTCTACATTCCAGTAAGAGTTTTGATGATAACAAATACATGATATAAAGAACAAATATACTCGCTAATAAAAGTATCTTTACATGCAGGAAGTTCTGATGTAAAAAAGATGTTCTGATGCAACTAGAAGTTCTGCCAGAACATCACTAGAAGTTCTGATTATGTGAGCACAGAAGT